AATGGATAAAGGACTTAAATGTAAGATGGGAACGCATAAAAATCTTAGAGGAATCTACAGGCAGCAAAATATCAGACATATTTCCCAGCAATTTCTTCACTGATACAGCTCCTCGGACAATGGAAACTAAGGAGAAAATAAACAAATGGGACTACATAAAAATAAGAAGCTTCTTCAGAGCAAAAGAAATTCCACTGCATGGGAGAACATGTTTACCAATGTTATCCCCAATAAGAGTTTAATCTCCAAAATTTATAGGGAACTTTTACAACTTAACAAAAGGAAGATTAACAATCCAATAAAAAATGGCCAAAAGATCTAAATAAACACTTTTGAAAAGAGGACGACACACAGAAGGTCAACAGACATATGAAAACATGCTCAAAGTCACTAATCATCAGAGAATGCAAATCAGTAGGACAATGAGGTACAATCTCACCGGTCAGAATGGCTATTATCAGCAAATCAACAAATGACAAGTGCTGGTGAGGATGTGGAGAAAAAAAGAACCCTCATGCACAAGCCCTGACCAGTGGGAATGCAGACCGGTGCAGTCACTGAGAAAAACAGTATGGAGTCTCCTCAAAAAATTAAAAATGAAACTCACATTTGACACAGGAATACCACTTCTAGGAATCTATCCCAAGAAGTCAGAAACATCAATCAGAAAGGATATATGCACCCTTATGTTCTTAGAAGCACAATTCACCATAGCTAAGATTTGGAAACAGCCTAACTGCCCATCAGCATATGAGTGGATTAAAACCTGTGGTACATCTACACAGTGGAATACTATGCTGCTGTAAAAAAGAAGGAAATCTTACCATTTTTAACAGCATGATAGATGTGGAGACCACTATGCTAAGCGAAATAAGCCAGGAGGATAAAGATAAGTATCACATGAGCGCACTCATTTGTGTAATATAATGAACAACATAAACTGATGAACAAAAATAGAGCCAGAGTCATAGAAGCATCAAACAGATTGTCTAATCTAAGAGAGATGGCAGGGGAAGGGTGGGTAAGAGATCAATCAAAGGACTTGTATGCATGCATATGAGCATGACCAATGGAAACAGACAGTAGGGGGTGAAGACATGTGCTGGGGGTTGGGAATGGCTGGTGAGAGGGAAAAAGAAGACTTATATAATACTTTAAACCAGTGTTTCCCAAAGTGTGGTACGCATACCCCTAGGGGTACGGGAACAGTTTGGTGGGGGTACGCGTTGCACTGGAGTTTGGTGGGGATATGTACTGCACCGTGCTTAGCTGCGCCCATTTCTACGTTCTCATGAGTACGAGGGGTACTCAGCGTTATGAAAATTATAGAAGGGGTACACATATGTCAAAAGTTTGGGAAACACTGCAAAGAATTTAAATTTTAAAAATTCACGGCCTACAGAATATTGATTGTAGCTAGCCGCTTTATGTACCAAGGATGCTGTATTTTAAATACCGTGTCTATTATAAAATACTTCAGCAACTAATATGAAAGGGACAATGGGCGAAAATGGCATAGGCTCTGTCACCTGCTAAAAGAATAAAAGGACACAGAGCATTCAGAAAGTATCAGAGCCATGAAGATAAAAATAATATATTGAGAAATCACCTTCATAAAAAATATAATTACCTTCCAGAAGGCTGGGAGCTTCTTTATGGGTTTCACATAAAGGCTTGGGTTTCAATTACAGAAGCTTGAATTTATGAATCACACCCATATTATTTTCCATGACATTTATGAGAGACAGGGATATAAATACTACCCATGAAATTTGGAGGAAATATATTTCACTTTTGAATACAAAAGAAAGACATATTCTTCCTAGCTTAGTGCCGTGGTCGGCAAACTGCGGCTTGAGAACCACATGCAGCTCTTTGGCCCCTTGAGTGTGGCTCTTCCACAAAATACCACGGCCTGGGTGAGTCTACTTTGAAGAAGTAGCATTAGAAGAAGTTTAAGTTTAAAAAACTTGGCTCCCAAAAGAAATTTCAGTCGTTGTACTGTTGATATTTGGCTCTGTTGACTAATGAGTTTGCCAACTACTGGCTTAGTGGATAGAGCGTTGGCTTATGATCCGAAGGCTTGCAGGTTCAGTTCTGGTCAAGGGCACATACTGTGGTTGCAGGCTCCTCCCTGGCCTGGGCCTTGGTCAGGGCTTGTGCAGGAGACAACCAATTGGTGTGTTTCTGGCACATCAGTGTTTCTCTGTTTTTCCCTCTTTTCCACTTTCTCTAAAAATCAATGGAAAAATATCCTCGGGTGAGGATTAAAATAAAAGAAAGAGACATGTTGTAATCTATAATGTTTTTTTTTTTATAAATGACAGAAAAATTTGTAACAGTAGGTTCAATTCCCAATCTGGGCACATACCTAGATTTTGGGTACAATCCCTGGCCGGAGCACATATGGGAGGCAACTGATTGATGTTTCTCTCACAACTTTTTCTCTCTTCTCTTCTCTTCCCTTCTCTCTCTCTCTCTCTCTCTCTCTCTCTCTCTCTCTCTCTCTCTCCTCTTTCCATTCTTTAGAAAATCAAGAAATCTTCTAGAGAATATTTAAAAATAAACAAAAAGCAAACAAGAAATTTAAATGTAGCCCTATGTCTCTCAAAAGACTTTTAAAATCTCTTCAGAAGACACCAATCTGTCACTTTTGATTTGCATATTTCATGCATTAATACATTAATTAAAGACTGTAAAAATCTCATCACAGAAGCCTATTTAAATCTTTTAGGAGGAATGGCAGCATGGCAGATTCCCTTGATATCTCCCCTTGAAGTTAAAACAATTTGAACAGCTATAATTCAACAAAGAGTTCCCAGCTCAACGCACAAACACATCTGCAAGATTCATGCATTGAAACATGTGAAGTCACATAAGTACGAACAAATGGGGGAGATTGGAAGGGAGAAGAGCTGATATTAGCCATGGACACAGCCCAGCAGCCCAGAGCTCTCTGAATGGCTAGCACAGAAAGGGGAGGAATCAGATTGTGGCTGGCACACCCTTCAGTCAAGAGGAGCTAAGAAGTGTAGTAAGCATTTCTGCAGTTATGGGTAGTATGAGCTACAGCTGAGCAGAGAGACCTGGACAGAGATGAAACACAGATGTGTGACCATGGTTATCTAGAAATCAGTATTTCAGACAGAGAAACAAAGGCAAAAAGCCTGGTGGTCTTCCCCACCCTCTCAGAGCTCCTCTCCATTCACCCTTCTTGTTCAGAGCACATGATCTGAAAACACAGGAACTGGTACTAAACACTTTTTCCCTGAGTCAAGGACACATTCTGCAACTAATTCCAGTGTCAAGTTGAAGTGTAATAGGGCGAAGCAACAAAGGAGGAGACCAGGTTCCCCAAGCACACCCCAACTCCATGCATTACACTGTGTAGCTGGCAGTGTCTGGCTATGGGGCACAGCACTGGGATTTCACAGAATTAGAACTCAATTGCCCAATTCAATCACCTCCATTGTTAGTCCTTTGGGCCCTGGTTGACCAAATCACAGGGAGGTGTCCACCTTCCCGGGGAACACAAACCATTTTCCACCACCCTGAAGAGATCTGAAAAGCCATAGAAGTGCATGAGAGCTAAAAAAAACAAAACAAAACAAAACAAAACAAAACAAAACAAAACAAAAACCACTTGTGATTCAGTGCCACCTACTGGACAACAATAGAAGGACTTCTTGTTTATCAATCTACTAGAGAACTGCCACTTACATAAATGCCACAAGGAATTCATTAAATGCTATGAATAACCAAGGCAGCTCAGAAAGAAAAAATATTCAGAAAATAAATTTAAAGACATAGAAATATGTGATTGAAATAAAAGAGAATTCAACATTGCTTTTCTGAAAAATCTCAGCCAGATGCAAGAAAATACAGATAGGCAGTGGTCCGAAAACTCATTAGTCACCAGAGCCAAATATCAACAGTACAATGGTTGAAATTTCTTTTGAGAGCCAAAATTTTAAAGCTGAAACTTCTTCTAATGCCACTTCTTCAAAGTAGATTCACCCAGGCCGTGGTATTTTGTGGAAGAGCCACACTCAAGGGGCCAAAGAGCTGCATGTGGCTCGCTAGCCGCAGTTTGCCGACCACAGAGATAGGCAGTTAAATTAACTCAGAAAATAAATAAAGAAACAAAAGGAGAACTTTACCAAAGATACTGAAACTCTAAAGCAGAACCAAATAGAAATTCTAAAGATGAAGAACTCAAAAAGATAAACAAACTAGTGATCAAAGGACATAGAGATGATTAGAAAGAGAAAATAATTAGTGACATCAAAGATAGAAATCTAAAAGAAAAAAGATAGAAAGCTAGAAATGATACAGAGGAAAAAAGAGGAGACAAGAAAAAAATTTAAAGAACTCTATGAGAATTATCTGACTCCATAAAAAAGAGCATTATAATAATAATGGCATAATAAAAAGAAAAGTGAGACAGAAGGAAACAAAAACCCTATTAAAACAAATAGTTGATGAGAACTTAGACCTATGGAAATAACTAGATCCTCAATTTCAAGAAGCAAACAGAACACCTAATTATCTTAATCCAAAGAGGCCTTTTCCAAGGAACATTGTGATAAAACAGTAAAAAATTCTTGACCAAAAGTTAATAAAGGGATATTTTCTTTAAATTTGATTTGGGATTCTTATCCATTCCCCCCCCCCCCCGCCCCCAAATGATTTTCCCCTGGCTTGTTTTGTCACCATGTGTGTATTTTCTTTATTTATCTTTTTTTTTTTTAAACTCTATTTCAGGCCACACCCTCCAGTGACCCAAGGAGAGGCCCTGATATCTTGAATTTATTTACCTTCTACAATTGAAACTTTGTAGCCTTCTGCTGGCTCTAGGATGGCAGGGGATTTATTTACCTCCTATAATTGAAATTTTGTCTCCATGTGTGTATTTTCATGGGTATCTTGCTATTAGCATTTCGAATGAAAGTTAATTTTCTAAAGCACAAATTTTTTTTTTTTTTGGACATTCCCTTCAATTTTATTGGTTTAAATTTTTTTTTTTCTGAAAGAGCAGCCCAGTATCAAGGAGCTAAGAGCATAAAGGGCATGAAATTGAGGACCCCCAAGATGAAAGAAGTCAGCTCTGGAGGCCACGCGGATGTAATAGTATGGTTTTCCTGAGCTAGCGCATTGCTTGGAGGTTGAGTTCCTTGGCTGGTGGCTTTCCAGGTTAGGGATGTCTCAGTTGTTGGTTTCTTGCATGGTGGCTGATTTGGCTTGTTAGTGCCTTGGGGGCAGGTCCTGTTGGGGGTGGACCCGAAGGACACTAGGCCTGGTCTTCATACATATAGAACAAGGAAATAAAGAAGGCCTAAACCGATGAGTATGGCAAATACATCCAGCCAACCAGTTCGTCCTGAGTTGATGTAAGCTTCTTCCCACTTGCTTTTCTTGTTAGCCTTCGTGGTCTGTAGGGATGGGAGCTTTAGATGTGGGTTTCTGGATTCAGCTTTGTGAAACCATTGGGAAATGGCTGGAGACATACTGCCATTGAGGGAAAACCCCAACCCAGGTCCCAGGAAGGAAGCATATGCAAGGGGCAGTTAGAGGACAGGATGGGTCATAGCTTAGGCATTATTTTACCTTGTGACTGAAGTACATAGCTAGACATCCCAGAGGAAAGAAACAAATTATGGCCAGGATGGTCAGACATATGTAATTCGGGGCATAAAATGCTACTTCTTCAGCTGTTTGTGTAGGCTTTGGCAGTAAAGCACAAATTTTTTAGATGTGAATTATTCTCAGGATATTTTTCCTTACATGATATTCTTCCACTGTCACCCCCTTTTTTACTTTAAATAATAGGAAACTTTTGGAAATTTTATACTGTAGTCTTGATAGCTTTTACATTTTAACTTATTTGAGCTACACTATGACTACTTTAGGTTCATAACATGTTGTGCAATTTTACCGTGGGATGCTCTGACAATAAGAATTTTTGTTGACCCTTTAGGAACTTCTTTTTGAACAGTACAATAGTTTTTTTTATATGGACCTATCCAGTGGCCATGGACAATGGGGGTTGGGGGAAGGCATATCTAGGGAGGGGTTTGGGATGGGAATGGGAGAATAAGGACAATTATGTGAGACCATAATCAATTAAAAAAATTAAAAAAAAAAAGAAAAAGAAAAACTAACAAGAAAATAAATAAATAAATAAATAAATAAATAAATAAAACAGTAAAAAATTAAGGAGAAGGAATGAATTTTCAAGGAAGCCAGGGAAAAGAAGAAAGTAACCTATAAAGGAAAACTTATTAGCTTATCATCTAACTTCTTAGCAAATCTCAACAAGCAAGAAGAGAGTGGAACCAAATATTCAAACTATTGAAAGAGAAATTACCAGCCAAGAATAATGTATCTAGGAAAGTTGTTTTTTTCTTTTGTTTTGGTGTGTGTGTGTGTGTGTGTGTGTGTGTGTGTGAGTGTGTGTGTGTGTGTGTCTGTGTATTTGTTTAAAGGAGAAATAAATATTTTGTAGACATACAGAAGTAAGGGAACTTAACCACCAGAAGACCTCCACTGCAGGAAATACCTGGAGACCTTTAGGGAGGGAGAGGTTGGAAAAAAAGCTGACACAGCAACCAGGGGTGGCAAGCCAAGAGAGAGGGAGTGCTAGGCTATGGGAGGGTCTGTGCCCTCAGAATATTGAGGTCTGGAACCCAGGCTGCACTCCACAGCCTGGAGCACTGGAACCAAGACCTGCGGCCCATGTAACATCCAGCTGTGAAAGGCAGCAGGGCTGCTAGCCCTAGCGGTGTCTGGAGCTGAACAGAGAGAAAGTCTCCATTTCATTTCATTTTTGTGTTTTGTTTTGTTTTTCAAACCTAGACCACCGGAGTTTTCATTTGCAGCTACTCACCTGAGTCTTTGGGGCAGGGAAGAAGATGTGGAATCAAGGTGCCCAAGGAGACCCTGGAGTGGGAAGAATTGTGGGGAAACTTGGAAAAATGGCAGCCAGAAACATTTAGACATAGGCCACCAAACTGAAAGGGCCATTTTTTCCCTGAGAGGAGCTAGCTGCTCCCAGCAGCCACAGTGCAGGTAAAGGGAAAAACCCTGTCCTAGATGATAGAGCATACACCGCCTGCAGGAGCCCTGCCTGCTACACCCTGCATTTTAAACTTTTTAGAGGAAACAAAAGCAGAGGCCAAACCTACAGGTTTGAACAGGAAACTGGGGAAGCTGAGCTACTGGGTCCTGCTAGGACACCTAGCATGCAAAGCCACTCTATCAACATGAGGAAGCAGTTAAAATACAGAGACAAAGAGGCAGGCCACAATTGAAGGAAATGGAGGAAAGCAAAAGAATGGATATAGAGTTCAAAACCACAGTTATAAGGTTTTTCAAGAGTTTTCTAGAAAAGGCCATTAAATTAAAGGAGATCTATGGGGATATGAAAAAGGATCAACTAGAAATTAAGCATACGCTGACTGAAATAAAAAAATATTGTACAGAGACCTAAAAGCAGACTAGAAGATTGCAAGAATCAAGTCAAAGATTTGGAATACCAAGAAGCAAACAGCACTCCACCAAAAAAGCAAAAAGCAAAAAGCAAATAAAATACAAAAAGTTGAAGATAGTGTAAGAAGCTTCTGGGACACCTTCAAGCGTACCATTATCAGACTTATGGGGATCCCAGAAGACAAGAGAGTGCAAGATACTGAAAACCTATTTGAAGAAATAGTGACAGAAAATTCCCCCACCTGGTGAAAGAAATAGACTTACAAGTCCAGGAAGCACACAGAACCACAAACAAGAGGAATCCAAAGAGGACCACACCAAGACATATCATAATTAAAATTCTAAGAGCAAAAGACAAGAGAAAATATTAAAAGCAGCAAGAGAAAAGCAATTAGTTACCTATCATATAAGGGAGCATCCATACGATTGTCAGCTGATTTCTCATCAGAAACTATGCAGGCCAGATGGGAATGGCAAGAAATAAAAAAATTGAATATCAAAAACATACAAAAAAAATTACTCTACCCAGCAAAGCTATCATTCAGAATTGAAGGTCAGATAAAGAGCTTCACAGATAAGAAAACGCTAAAGGAGTTCATCACTACCAAACCAAAATCATATTATATGAAATGCTGAAAGGTATTATTTAAGAAGAGGAAGAAGAAGAAAAAGGTAAAGATAAAAATTATGAACAACAAATACATAACTATCAACAAATGAATCTAAAAAACAAGGGAATAAAAAATCTGATGAACAATATTAACTGGTGAATATAATAGAATCAAGGGTATATATAGAAAGGGAGTGGACTGATGATTCTCAGGGAAAAGGGGAGTGGGGAGTATGGGAAGAGACTGAACAAAAATCGTACACCTATGGATGACGACAGTGGGGGGTGGGGAAAGGGCAGAGGGTGGGGTAGGAACCTGGTGGAGGGGAGCTATGGAGGGGAAAAAAGGGGGGAAAATTGTAATAATCTGAACAATAAAGATTTATTAAATTTAAAAAGAATAAGAATGGCAATAAATAAGTACCTATCCTACGTAATAAAAGTGATATGCAAATTAACCATCACTTGGCTACAACCACAAGTCATGCACACCAGCCAATCAGAATGAGTATTCAAATTAACCCCAGCCAAGACAGCTGCAGCCACAGAGAGCAGGAGGGAGGCTTCGGTTTCCAAGGCAACAGAAGAAGCCAAGCTTTCCACCTGCCCTTGCCGGCCTAAGCCTCCACTCAAGGCTACGAAGTTCCAATTATAGAAGGTAAACAAACACAAACAGAAATGGTGGCAACCACAAAGTGAGCAAAAGGCTTGGCTCTGCTCCAGGCTACAAAGTTTCAATTGTACAAGGTAAATAAATTCCAGATACCAGAGCCTCTGCTTGGGTCCCCCGGGGGGCGTGGCCAGCCTGAAAACCACCACAGGCCCCTTTCTCAGGCCACCCCAGGCCCCAAGGGAATCCCCATCCTGATCCAGGACAACCTCCAGGACAAACCAGCTGGCCCCCACCCATGCACCAGGCCTCTATCCTATCTAACAAAAGAGTAATATGCAGATTGACCATCACTCCAACACACAAGATGGCTGCCCCCATGTGGTCAAAGATCCTGCCCTTATGTGGACACAAGATGGCAACCACAAGATGGCCAGCAGGGGACGGCAGTTGAGAGGCACCAGGCCTGTAAGGAAGGGCAGTTTTTTCACTGCCAGATGTTATGTTTGCACCTTTATTAGTTCTGATGCTCTCTGCTGAAGGGCCCAGCTTGGGGTAAGACTCCAGAGTTCTCAGCAGCAACCCTCCACAGCTGAGCCATCTCTTCAGAACTTCAGCTGCTGTCTGTGGGAGCCCAGCCAGCTCTTTTGTGCCTCCTCCATTCTTATCAGTTTCTATGTTCTATTTTCTATCCTTGGTTATCAGGGTTCTTTCCAGCTAGTCCTCTGTTGATGTTTCAGGGTGGTTCTTCTGTATTTTAGTTGAAATTCCAGTTTGGTCCTGGGAGCATGTCTCTGAACTTCCACTTACTCTGCCACCATTTTAAATTCATATTCTCTCTCTCTCTCTCTCTCTCTCTCTCTCTCTCTCTCTCTCTCTCTCTCCTCTATCAGTAGGAACGTTTGTCTGTTTCATTGGTCCTTTAGAATAGAACCAACTTTTTAATTTATAATTGCTTTCATTGATTTCTGCTTTTACCTTTAGTAATTACTCACTTTTACTTTTATTTAGCTTATGTGTTTTTTCTCTAAACATGTATTTCTAACTATACTAGTAAAAAATTGAAGAATAGTTTAAAAAAAAAAAGCATGCTAGTTGCTGCTGTTATTCACATTTTGTATTGCTTTTGAGTTTTTATTAAGGTACTGAAGTATGCATGTATGTTTGTAATCCCAATAAAAATATTAAACTTACCATTAAAACAGTTCATTAAAAAATAAAAACAAAACAAACACACAAGCAAAAAAGCTTAATTTGATCTTCAATATTTTTTTAATAACTGCAGATTTCAAACCATTGTTTTATTGGTAAATGTAATTCTTTTCTTGTGGTTAATATGTGGCCCTACATGTTTTTTATTATTTGGAATTTGCTGAGATTTCTCTTGTGGCTTTATACACCATTTATTTTTTTGTAATTGCTAAATGTGCAATTAAAAAGTATGTGCATTTCCTGTATGTCAATACAAACATTCACATGTTCAAGTTTGATAATTGTATTATAATCCAATATGTCCTTATTGAGTTAGTATGTTAGTAAGTTAGCACTTAATGTGACAATTCTGCAAAAGGTCTGTTTTTACACTACAATTGTGAATTGGCTGATCTCTATTTCAACCCTATGTTGTAAAGACTTACAGTTATCTTTTTAATAGCCTATTATCAATGAAATACCTTTTATTTTGTAATGCTTTTATTCTGAACCCTGTTTTGTCTGACATTGATATTACTATACTCATATTCTTTATATTGGCATTTGCATATATTTTTCAATTTTTAAATTTTCAAACTGTTTTGTGTTATTTTGTTTTACATGTGTCTTACAGTTTTAAAAGTATATATTATATTTCTAAGCTGCTAAGGTTTACCTGTGCACTATTTTTTATTTTTTTAATATATTTTATTGATTTTTTACAGAGAGGAAGAAAGAGGGATAGAGAGTTAGAAACATCGATGAGAGAGAATCATCGATCAATGCCTCTGGGGATGTGCCCGCAACCAAGATACATGCCCTTGACTAGAATCGAACCCAGGATTTTTCAGTCTGTAGACCAACACTCTATCCACTGAGCCAAACCGGTTTTGGCTACCTGTGCATTATTAATATACATACTAAAACATACACATCCTTAGTCTGTCAACATTTATCATTAAACTGATCTCTTTTCTCCCTCCAAATGAGGCAAGAAGCTTGGTACACATTTTTCTTTTTTAGCTCTGCTCCCTCTTTGACATTCTGGTCCATGCTGCCACCCTAATCACTGCTTGCATTGACACCTTCTTTTACTGATTGGCTGATTTCTTTGATCATTGCTTCTTTCATCACACTTCTTGTGCTTAAATTTATTGTGTTCCTTAGTGCAATATTGGTTATGTCAGAGAATTTGAAGCATTTGAAGCACGGATAACATTTTGAAGCACTGAATGTTAGAAAATACCTTTATTTCACCCTCCTTGTGATCTCTTGGTATTGGGCACCAAAGGTATTCCAGAATTGTAATGAATTTTTAAATATATCTTTTTAAAATATATATAGTGTTTATCATTTCTAGAGATTCAGGATATGAGGAGTTTATTAGATACACTCAGTTCACCACTTTACTCTCCTCATGCCTATTTCTTAACCTAGGTCTCATTAATATTTATAGGCCAGGTCTGGGAAAGTCATCCTTCTACCATTCCTTTCTTTGATATCCTGTCCCCACCAGGAAAATTGGTGAATATCAGGAATATTATTGGGTCAATAAATGGGTCAAGTCAATATGCGTCATGTATCAGCATAAGAGTGTGGATTGCTCATCTTTCTCTTTTGCCCATGCGAATGATGGGCTTTTAATCAGCCATTACATGTGTTTACTTTTTTCTTCCATGAAGCCAGTATGAGTGAACTAAGATCTGGGATTCAGGTTTGGCCTTATGATAAGAGACTTTAAGCTAGGCTGTATAATCTTGCCCGGTGTACTAGAGCTTGCACTGAGGTTTGAGGCCTAAAGCCAAGCTAAAAATAACGTGCTACTTTGGTTTCCTTTGTCCTATGTGGATATATGTCTCCTGGGACCCTTGTGGAGAGAGCTGGTTTTGGTCTGGGCCAATATTTTGGTATTCCCAGTTCCTTGGTCACAACAGAGCTTCCATATCGAGACCATTTGCCTCAGCAGAGTGGCCCCACCACGGAGTTCTCTCCAGCTTGTTTGCACTGCTGGAATCCCTGTCTCCAGTTAAGGGGTCTTCCACCACACCCAGCTCTGTCCTTCAGCCAAGCCACACACATGGAATTGCTTTCATCTCCTTCCTTTGCTGGGCCTGCTCTTTCCCAATGGCTCGGGGACTTCACTCCTCTGGATTCCCTCCAATTTGTCCCCATTGTCCCCATGCTCATGGACATCCAGCTGCACAGTGGCCTCAGAGGAGAGGTGGGAGGCTTGGAAGCTGCAGAACGCTTTCGTGTTCCCCAGGCCACACTAACATCAAGGAAGGGAAGACATTTTGTGTGTCTCTCTGCTTGCCTCCTTCTTTCAGGAGCCTGAGGTGGTCTGGGGGGGGGGGGGGTAGACCAAAAGGATCTGACTTGGTTCCTGCCCATGAGGGCCTAGCAGACCAGTAAAGAGGTCATATTATTAATGATAATAGCAATAATAATACCATGACATCACTTGCCCTGAGGCAGGCAATTCTCTTAGCACTACACACAGATTAATCATTTCCTCCTCATAAAAGCCCCATGAGGCAATAACTATCTCTTCATGTTATAGGTGAAGAAACTGAGGCTCTAAGAGGTTATGAACATTGTTCTAGGAACTAGGGAGTATCAGAACTGGGATTAAATACCCAGGGTAGTTGACTCCAGGGCCTGTGTTTTCAACTTAAACCTGTCCAGGACTTATCAATAATACCACACAAAGGTGGGATTTGAACTCAACTCAATAAACCTGGCCCAAGCTCAGCAAAGCTTTAGAGGTGAGAAAGGCAATTCCAATAGTGAGGATACAGAAATGCTTCCTGGAGGAAGCAGCATTTTCTAAGATCCTTGCAGGGAACCTGAACAGGCAGAAATGTAGGAGGTCATGTAAGGTGAAAATAATAGGAGCAATGATCAGGGAATAGGACTTTGCCAATCAGGTTCAGAGAAGGCAAGGAGCTCAGTAAGGCAAAGATTGGGGAAGCAATGGGTCCTCTGGATGGCCAGCTTCAAGGAGGGACAGAACTGCATTAGAGGCTGCTTTGAAATCTCACTGGGGCTGGAGGGAGAGAATACGGTAATTGTCAGGCAAGAGATTACCCTGTTCTGTCCTGTGATGGCTGCAGTGGGAAATGTCAGAAATAATGGAGTGACTGGAATTGGCCTTGAAATAGATGCCAGGTGTAAAGGAGAGTGAGGAGGCAGGACTCTGCGGATAGGAAACTGGATACTTTGGAGGGAGAGCAGGACACTGTGGAGGGGGAGCAGCTGAGTCAGTGGACCATTTAGTTTAGGACGTAGGGGGTCTGAGGTACCTGCAGGGAAACCAGCAATGAACAAGGAGAGCCTTTCATAGCTTCAGTGTAGAGTCCATGACTTCAAAGGCTGAGAAACTGTACCAGGAAGAAAGACTGGAGCCCTGAGTATCAAGTTACTTAGTTAGGACTGACTCTTTAGGTCACATGTGTCAAACACAAGGCCCACGGGCCAAATCCGTCCCGCCAAGCCTTGCAATGTGGCCCGCACTGCGCTGTCATCACTGCACTCCGCTGCGTTTCCATCACAATGACAGTTTATGACTGTTCAGTAAACCATTCGGCCCGCGATTTAGGCTGGATTTTAGATTTTGGCCCCTTCTCTGATTGAGTTCGACACCCCTACTTTAGGTAGTGGGGAGCCTTCCAAGGGTTTTTCAATAGGGGTATGATACAATCGGATTTGCATTTAAGAAGGCCGCTTTGCCAAGGCCACCCAGACCCTAGTGTGGACTTTTTCTGTTTTGCCATGGATTTGGCTTCAGGCCTTTGCAGTAAGCCCAACACCCATACTCTTCAACTGCCCAGAACAGTTTCCCAAAGGACAAATATAGCATTTTATTGGAAAGAATCCAGGATTTTGAACCAGGATACCTTACTTTAAATCCAAGCTTTACCTCTTTCTTGTTATATGATAATTGTTTAATATTTCCAAATATAATTTTCCTAATTTATAAAATAATAATGCCTAATGAACCTGGCAGTTGTGAGAGACCAAGATATGAAAAAAGTATATGAAAGTACTTTGTAAATTATAAAATTGTATATCTTTTTATGATTGAATACTTTTAATCAAGTATGGCATTAAAAACTGGCTCAGGAAAATAACTTCTTTATAATGTAGTGCTACATCTATACTTAAAGTATTCTGCTTGTCAACACCAGGCTCAGATATGAGTAGTTTTTTTCCATTGTGGATATATTTTAAATAAGGTTAAGATCCTATAAGACTCTGATTTCTATTGGTTTGCGTTTTTTAATACCAAAATAAAAGCTATTACCTTTACTAGTAACTGTTATGAGTTAAAATATTTTAAGGAAAGACTGATAGCCAAAGGAAGGTAAGTAAAAAGTACAGTCAGGGTTTCAATGAAGAGTAAGCCGGAGAAAGTAAGGGAGTTTCTAGTGTTATAAGTTCTTTGGGCGGGGCAAGAGCTCTCTCCTTTTGTAAATATGGATTTTGGACTGTTTTGCCTTCGTTAGTCTTAACATAACTCACTCTAAAACTGGACTTCCAGATACGGAATCTGGGCCTAGATAATCTAACTAGGTGAACATTTAGGAAGGCTTGTTTCCCAGCTCTGCTCGCCACATTAACAAGCCTCAAGTTATTACTAAAAATTTCTGTCAGCTACTGCATGATTGGGACCAGCCACTAAAAATTACTCTATGAAGCCTGTTATTAGTAACATTAGAGGCCCAGTGCACGAAACTTATGCATGGGGTTGGGGGTGTCCCTCAGCCCAGCCTGCACCCTCTCCAATTTGGGACCCCTCCAGGGATGTTAAACTGCCCTTTTAGAGCCAATCCCATCCCGTTTAGACCCGATCCAATGGCAGTCGGACATCCCACTCACAATCCAGGACTGCTGGCTCCCGACTGCTCACCTGCCTGCCTTCCTGATTGCCCCTAACCGGTTCTGCCTGCCAGCCTGATCACCCCCTAGCCACTCCCATGCCAGCCTGATTTATGTCTAACTGCTCCCCTGCGAGCCTGTTTGTCCCCAATTTCCCTCCTCTGGTCACCCCTAACTGCCCTCCCCTGCTGGCTATCTTATGGTGGCCATCTTGTGTCCACATGGGGGCAGGATCTTTGACCACATGGGGGCAGCCATCTTGTGTGTTGGAGTGATGATCAATCTGCATATTACTCTTTTATTAGATAGGATAGAGGCCTGGTGCATGGGTGGGGGCCAACTGGTTTGCCCTGAAGGATGTTCCAGTTCAGGGTGGGTGTTCCCCTGGGGTGTGGAGTGGCCTGGGTGAGGGGCCTGTGGTGGTTTTCAGGCTGGCCATGCCCCCCAGAGGACCCAAGCAGAGGTCCTGGTATCTGGAATTTACTTACATTCTACAATTGAAACTTTTTAGCCTGGAGCGGAGCCAAGCCCCCTGTTCACTCATGGCTGCCGCCATTTCTGTGTGGTTTTATGTATCTTTTATAATTTAAACCAGGGGTCTTCAAACTACGGCCTGTGGGCCACATGCGGCCCGCAGAGGAGTCTGATCCGGCCCGCCAGGTTTTTTGGGCAGTGAGCGCAGCCGAGGTGTTACAGTAGGAATTAGTAGTTCATATAGTCCGGCCCTCCAGCTCTCTGAGGGACCGTGATCTGGCCCCCACTTTAAAAAGTTTGAGGACCCCTGATTTAAACCTTGTAACTTTGAGTGGAGGCCTAGGCCAACCAGGGAAGGTGGGAAGCTTTGCTTCCTCCATTTCGGGGGGGCAACCCTAGCCTGCTCTCTCCAGCTCCATGGCTGCTGCCATTTTTCTCAGGATTTATCTTCTATAATTGAAACTTTGTACCCTTGAATGGAAGCCTGGGCAGGCTAGGGTGGTTGGAAAGCTTGGCTTCTTCTATTACCAGGGAAACCCAAGCCTCTCAACTGCTCTCTGTGGCTGCAGCCATCTTGGTTGGGGTTAATTTGCATACACGCTCTAATTGGCTGGTGGGCGTGGCTTGAGCCAAATGATGGTTAATTTGCATATTGCTCTTTTATTAGGTAGAATAAACAAATAGTGGAGGCATCCTAGAAAGCATAGCATTACATGAAGACAAATAATAGGTGGCAATGGGGGTACATGGCATGAGAACTTTACTTTCAGCTCTTCACAAAAAATATCTCAAAATGACCTAATAATATGGTCGGAGAAATGTGGAAGGGCAAAGTTCTGTTTCCTTATTTTTACTTTGCTCCTCTGCCTCTCAGAAAAGTAGACTACATGCATGTGTAGCCTTGCTTGCAATGCTATCTTTTTTTTTTCTTCTTGTAATTAGGCCATGTTAAAAGAGAATGAGAATGAAATTTCAGAGAAAATTTAAACACTGTGAATGAATCAGGGTAGAGAAAGGTAAGCTTCTGCCCACTGATTGAATTAACTGAAGCAAAGGACAATGGGTGACCAACTGCCAAAACTGTTTATAAAAATTCACAGCACAGTTTATTATATTTTCTGATTTATCTGCTTGGTTATAATCATGGTATCAGAAAGCTGGTAATGAAATGCCCAAAATGCCATCTAATCCTGCCTATGCCTCTCATATTTGCTAATAAGTTGCTGTGAATTGGTGATAGGTAATAATGTCTGAATGCCCCAATATTTGGCTTGCATGGCAGAAAGGTTATTAGGAATTGGGGGGAAGTGCCAAAGTGAAGCACTGCTAAGAGGGCAGATTTACAAATCTGGCCACAACTGTCCTCTATCCAAAAGGCACTTATGAGGTTGGCATGTTAATAACCTTTCTGAACAAAATTTTCTCACTTGGTCTTTATTAGTTAACATGGTTTTTATTAGTGCTTTGTCTGCTGGATGGAGAAAATGATTCCTTTCTTTTGAGCCTACTTACCTGGGTTGTCATAATCATTGTCTCCCCAGTGTTCTTCATTTGCTAGCAGTGGGTTCTGTGATTCATTCATGCATCTCATAGGGAAGGAGTGTCCATCACCAGGGCTGGTGGGGAAAAGGAGGAAATGAGCTCTTATGTCTAACAGATATTTTTGTAAGGTAAAAGCCCTATTGAAATAAGAAGGGAGTTCTTAGCAAGATTTAAACCATTTAGATTATTGGCTAGAACCATAGGGGAACAGAATCTTACAATAGTATCATTTACTTGCTTTATTGCTTTCAATATCTATATCTTCTTTTTCTGCATCAGTGTTGACTGTGCATTGTAAGAAACATGTTAAAGAGTCGCTTACAAACAAAAACATTCTACCGAAACCGGTTTGGCTCAATGGATAGAGCGTTGTGGCTTGGGGACTGAAAGGTCCCGGGTTCGATTCCGGTCAAGGGCATGTACCTTGGTTGCAGGCATATCCCCAGTAGGGGGTGTGCAAGAGGCGGCTGATCAATGACTCTCACATCGATGTTTCTAACTCTCTATCTCTCTCCCTTCCTCTCTGTACAAAATCAATAAAATATATTCAAAAACATTCTATGTGTGCAAAGAACACATCATAGTATAGATCACCAATTCACAGCAACTTGTTTCCACTGCATTCAATGATTCTGAATCTGCTAATTCTTTTAAAAAATTTAGAAGCAATCAATAAAATAGTGGAATATAAATTAAATAATGTTGATGGCCCCAATTTATATTCCACTATTTTATTGATTGCTTCTAAATTTTTTAAAAGAATTAGCAGATTCAGAATCATTGAATGCAGTGGAAACAAGTTGCTGTGAATTGGTGATCTATACTAATAATAGAGGAATATGCAAATTGTCTGGGATGCCATCACAGTAACAGTAACGACAAAACAGCAGGCTGCATGGGGTGACAAAACTGGCAGGGGGGTTAGTGAGGGAAAACCAAACAACTGAACATTAGGCTGTGTGCCAGCAAAGGGGTGGGGGGCAGTTGGGGGTGACCAGGCCAGCAGGGGGGGAGGGGAGCAGTTAGGGGTGACCAGGCCGGCAGAGAAGGACAGTTGGAGGCAACCAGGCTGACAGTGGGGGCAGTAAGGGGTGACCAGGACAGCAGAGGGGGGCAGTTAGGGATGATCAGACAGGCAGGCAGGTGAGCAGTTAGGAGCCAGCGGTCCTGGGTTGTGAGACGGATGTCTGACTGCCGGTTTAGGCCTGATCACTGGAATCAGGCCTAATCCAGCAGTCAAACATCCCCCGAGGGGTCTCAGATTGGAGAGGGTGCAGGCTGGGCTCAGGGGACCCTCCCTGCACAAGTTTTGTGCACTGGGCCTCTAGTATATAATAATACCTAAATGCCCCACTATTTGGTTTGTACGGTATAAAGGTTATTAGGAATTGGGGGAAATAGCCAGAGTGTGGCATTCCTAAGAGGGCAGATTCTGTGTGCAATTTTCTGCATGTGGAATCCACCTAATGAATATCTGTTAACCTAGGATTACCTCCCAAGTTATTCTCTAGTTACTAAGAGATGGGATGCATTGGAGAAGACTGAACTGGCTAAAGTAGGTTACAATTTGAACATTTAAGTTTTTATATCTAATGCACTCCATATTTGTAGGAGTTACATTTGCTTTATTAATTTTATATTACCTGTGCCTTTTATCCTGTTTACAAATATGTTTTACTGAAAATACTCTACCCACTTTTTAGTTAGATTGTTTGGAGTTGAGTTGTATGAGTTATTTGTAAATTTTGGATATTAACACCTTATCAGATGTATCATTAGTGAATATTTTCTCCCATTTAGTAGGTTGCCTTTTGTTTTGTTGATGGTTTCCCTTGCTGTGAAAAAAACTTTTTAGTTTAATGTAGTCCAATTTGTTTATTATTTCCTTTGTTTTCATTGTCTGAGGAGATATATTAGAAAAAATATTGCTAAGATAAATGTCAGGGATTTTACTGCTGATTTTTTTCTTCTAGGATTTTTATGATTTCATGACTTATATTTGTCTTTTATTCATTTTTAATTTATTATTGTATATGTGTAATTTGGTAGTCTAGTTTCATTTTCACGTATCTGTGAAGGATAAGGATGTTAACTTTCACCACTCATATTCAACCTTGTATTCCAAGGATGAATATTTTCCCAATATTATTTATTGCATAGACTACCAATTTTCCCAATACTATTTATTGCATAGACTACCTTTACCCCATTGTATATTCTTGCCTCCTAATTTATAGATTAATTGACCATATAGGTGTGGGTTTCTTTTGGGGCTTTTATTTTGTACCATTGATCTCTGTGTTTCTATAACAGTGCCATGCTGTTTTGATTATTATCACCTTGTAGTATAGTTTCATATCAGGTAGCATGTTAACCCCAACTTTGAACCTCTTTTTAAGGATTTCTGTAACTATTCAGGGTCTTTTGTATTCCCATATAAATTTTAGGATGATTTGTTGTATTTCTATAAGAAAATATCATTGGTATTTTGATAGGCATTGTATAGAATATATAGATTGGTTTGGATAATATGAACATTTTAATGATATTAATTCTTCAATCTATGATCATGGTATATGCTTCCATTTATTTGTGTCTTCTTCAATTTATTTCCTTAATTTCTTACAATTTTCCAAATACAGGTATTTTACCTCCTTGGTTTAATTTATTTCCAGGCATTGTATTTGTTTTCTTAATTTCCCTTTTTGAGAATTTATTATTGGTATGTAAAAATGCAACTAAATTCTGAACACTAATTTTGTATCCTGTAATGTACTTAATTCATTTATCAGTTCTAATTGGTTTTGTTGGGGTCTTTAGGATTTTCTCTATATTCTATCATGCCATTGGCAAATAATGACAGTCTCACTTCTTTCTTTCCAACTTGGATACTTGTTATTTTATTTCCTTATCTGATTGCAGTGGGTACAGCTTCCAATACAAGGTTGAATATGAGTGGTGAAAGTTAACATCCTTATCCTGTTCCTGATCTTAGTGAAAATGCTTCTAGTATGTACAATTAAGTATCACATTTGCTGTGAGTTTATCATATATGGCTTTTATTGTGTTAAAGTATGTTCCCTCATTTGCAAACACCTAGAGAGAAGAAGAAAAAAAAAGATGGTAAAAGTTGTTATTTGTGCCCCAAGTGAAAAAGTTTGATAGATATTTCAGAAGAAGCATGGATGTCAATAAGACAGAGGAGAGGCCCTTTGTGGTGATGCTCCCCTCCCCCTGCTCAGACCACCCTGAAAGCACCATGCTGTCCTCTGCATACTACATTGGAAGAGGATGGACACATACTGATTTAATGACTACAAAGAAACCAGAATTTTGGGGACACTTAATGCCATCTGTGAAATACTGGAAGGGCTAGGCAAATGTATTATCCAAAGAGAACAATACACTGCAGATACTTCATGAAACATCTGAATGACCGGATACTAGAAAATTAATTATTTAGTTATTATTGTTTTTCAGTGTTTGAGGGATGTTGGTTTAGATGCTAAGTGGTCATCCTAACAGAGAGATTTTCAGATACACACAACAAGGAGCTTGTGGTTTCCTCTAGCTGCCCAGAGATAATTGTAGAGGTTGTGAGTGAGGATACAGTCAAGGGCTACTTGTCCAATATGGTGGAGTACTGAGCACTTCCAGTATGGCTTGTGTCACATGTTGAAATGGTAAAGTTTTGGATACATTAAGCCCAATAAAATATATTATTAAAATAAAATAAAAAATAACATAAAGTATGTTCCTTCTATTCCCATTTTGCTTAGTTTTCATCATAAATGGAGGTTGAATTTTCTCAAATGCATTTTCACATCTACTGATGTGATCATATGATTTTTATCTCTCATTTTGTTTCTGTTGGTATTGTGTGAATTTATTTGTGGACATTGAGACAACCTTGAATCCCAGGAATACATACCACTTTTTAATGTATTGCTGAATTCAATTTGTTAACATTTTATTAAGAATTTTTATATCTAATTTCACCAGGCCTATTGGCCTACAATTTTTATTTTTTAAATGTCTTTTTCTGGTTTTAGAACCAAGATTTAAGCTAGCTTTGTAAAATGAGCTTAGGAGTCTCCCCTCCTATTGAAAATTTTTATTAGTTTGAGGAGGATACGTGTTATATCTTTGAATGTTTGTAAAAAAAAAAAAAATATGTGTGAAGCCATCTGTTACAGGACTTTTGTTTATTGGAGGTTTTTTTTTAATTACTAATTCAGTTTCCTAAGTAGTTATTGGTCTGTTCATATTTTCTATTGCTTCTTGATCCAGTCTTGCAAGACTGTATGTTTCTAAGAATTTGCCTATTTCTTTAAGGTTGTACATTTTGGGGAGACAAAATGGTGGCAAAATAGGCAGTTGTATCCTGACCTTTGTCCCAGAACAGATAGAATGAGCAAGTAAATCAAATAACTTCCACCCAGAATTGGCAAAGGAGACATAGTTGGTGAAACAACTCATAGTCAGGAAGGGCAGAGGATGCTTGGAGAATGGTAAAATCAGAGATCTGGGTTGAAGAGAACTGCAAGACCTCCAAGCCCAGAGGGTCAGAAAGAAGCTGCACAAAACAGAGTCCACATCCCTTAGCACATGTGTAGCATCTAACTGTGGAAAGGAGGTCTGCAGGACTTCTGGCAGGAGGGGATTATAGATCTAAGTCCACAATCATGAGAGACTGAGCCCAGAGGGGACAGCCATCCAGGTGGGAGAGGGGCTCAAATTGGTGCAGCTCTTTCCCTCTTTTTTGTCTCTGCTTTTATTCACTAAACCTAGTTCAGTGGTCAGCAAACTCATTAGCCAACAGAGCCAAATATCAACAGTACAATGATTGAAATTTCTTTTGAGAGCCAAATTTTTTTTTTTAATTTAAACTTCTTCTAATGCCACTTCTTCAAAATAGACTCACCCAGGCTGTGGTATTTTGTGGAAGAGCCACACTCAAAGGGCCAAAGAGCTGCATGTGGCTCGCAAGATACAGTTTGCCAACCATGGACCTACTTCATAGGACCTTTCAAATACAAACACCCATAGCTGAGGTGCAGGTGGAAATGCAGAC